ACGCTTTTCTTACTCTTATAAAAAAGTTGGCCTGAGATGAGATGTTATGGCAGTTTTTAGGGTACATAAACTGCCATCTTCTCAGATTGCCAGCATTTTAATAAAGCGCCCATAAAGATTCAATCCTTGTCTGTACTCATTGGTTCTGGCAGTGACAGGCAGCACGAAGCCCAAGTTTTCAGGCTGCATAACCATCTGTCTCAGTTTCCCTTTTCTCACTTGTCAAAAATGCTCATAACTTCTAATTATGTTGCTTCATAAGCACTAAACCAAAATACACTTCCTAGACTATAAAGATAAAATTACTGGCATTTGCCTGCTTCTGATAGTACTATCAGTGGTGGTTAATTTTAAGAATCTAGTTGACTGGGCCACAGCGCCCAGATATTTGATTCAACTTTATTCTGGATGTTTCTGTGAAGGTGTCTTTTGGATGAGATTAACATTGAAATCAGTGGACTTCACCAGTAAAGCAGATCGCCCTCCACAATGTAGACGAACCTCATCCAGTCAGTCAAAAACCTTGACAGAAGAAAGGCTAACCTTCCCTCAGCAAAAAAGAAATACTGCCAGCAGACAGTTTTAGACTCAACTGCAACTCTTCCCTCATTTTCCAACTTGCTTGTCTACCCCACCACATCTTTTTTCTTCCTTTTTTTTTTTTTTTTGCTGGACTCAACAAGCCTACACAATCACATGAGCCAATTCCTTAAATCAGTCTCTCTATCGATCCCTCTCTCTCTCTTTACACACACACCAACCAACAGAAGATTCTGTTGACTCTGTCTCTCTGGAGAACTCTTTTACACTATCCAAAAGAAAACAGGACTTTGCCCTAAATTTATTTAAAAGGCATACAGTTTATTTGAGGGTCAACAATCAATAATATTAACTAAGTTAACAATAGTCTAAGAAAAGCTAATCAAATTCCAGATGTGGAGACTTACTTGCTCTTTACCAAAGTTTCATGTAAGTTTCCAAAAGACCTATAAGAGATACTGTTACAGGGTGCAGCCAAGAGGGGGGACCCCAGATAGGCATTGGAAATGGGGTCCAGAACTTAAGGTATCCGGGAGATTTTAAGATGTCTCCATCCCCACCCCCCAGGGTGTGGGTTGGGGGAAGGGACAAATGGAGCAGGGCCATTGAGAGCTGTTTTGCATAGCAACAGCCTTGCAGCTAAGCTCTGGTGTGGTCATTTAACATATCTATGGCCTTTGGCTGGTTACATAGATATGTTAAATAGCTGTGGCCATGCCCTGAGCCAGGGGAATGGAAGTAATTTCCCCACCAAGATGTAACTGGGGGGGCAGGTCCCCCGAGTTATAGCGCCTGCGTGGGAGCTTGGAGATGACTGAGTCCAGGACATGGGGCCACGCCTGCCCAGACTCATGATGGCAGCCCAGTAAAGCTGGAAGGATACGAGTTCTGGCATGTGAAGCCGAGTGTGGGAGGAGTCGGAAATGAGGCTGCAGAGGAAGATTGGCCGTGGGGATTTAAAACCCAGACTTGGCGGCCCTGAGAAGGAAAACCATGCTGCTTTATGAAGGAGAGCCATGCACAGCCCTGAAGGTGAACCATGCGCAGCCCTAGGAGAGAACCATGTGGCTGTGGAGGTGCAGAGAGGATCACGGCCATTGGAGAGAGAGCCACACAGCTTTAGGAGAGTGAAGACTCCCGCATCCCAGATAGGGAGAACCACGCAGCCTGGACAGAGTGGGGACCCCCACAGCTTTAGAAGGGGAACCACCACCTGGTTTTAGCAGAGATCCCGGAGACTCAGCTGAGGGTGCCGGGAACCCAGGGAGGTCTCCCAGTCGAGATGGAGTACTAACTGGGAAGAACCAGAGGACTGCCTGAGCCATGGACTTCTATTTCCTTTCCTGAGATACGGTACTGGGCAAAGGGGGAAGGAAGGAAGGACTGTGTCTGTTTATGGGTGTTTTAAGGGACTTTAGGATTTTTGATAGAGACATTAGGTCACTACTTGAAGTTTGTATAGCATTAAATAAACATTTCCTTTCCTTTTCACAAATCTCTGGCATTGAGAGACGTCTTTCCTTGGGCGGTGGACATAATGGACCCGGGGGCTTCTTTCAGTAATAGTATATCGTCCCAGGCCCCCCTTGTTGTGTTCTGTAACAATACTGCTTTATCCAAATAAGAGAAAGTAATTTATTTTTTAAAAAAGTGTTTGAGGCTAAAAGTCAAGATGGAACTATTAAAATATTAATTAGCATCTTTGCAGATGTACAAAATTACATCACATAGACACACACAAGTATATACAGGTAAACTTTCCCTAGAAAATTCATAAAGAATAAAATAAGGGAATAATTGTTGAGTATACATTTTACTGATCATGAATTGTTATCTGCATTACTTGTCTCAATCTCTCACAAGAAATAAGAATAATAATAATAAGTACCATGGTATAATAACAAATACATATGGTTTTTGTTCTGGGTTCCTGGAAAGCTCTTAAAACCTTTAGGATTTTCTGAGATACAGGAGAGTCTTTTGTAATTCATAGGGAACCCCTTTGAGAATTCCTGAGTTTATGCTAATGAGCCAACTTAGGAAAGGACTCCTAAACAGCTTAGGGATAGGGCTGGTTAACAGAAAGACCAATGCTTACAGGACTGAAATTTTAGGCACACCCTCAGACCTGTGGGAAGGGAAAGAGGGTACTACAAATTAAGCTCTGTAAAAACTCTTGAACAAGATTTGATGAGCTTTCATTTCAGGTTAGTGAACGGAGCCCCTGTGAACGCTGTGGTGCACCCCAGTTCCATGGGGACAGAAGCTCCTGGGCTAGGAGCCCTCTCAGGCCTCACTCCATGAACCTCTTCATCTAGCTGTTCACACATATCTTCTCTAAAATCCCTTATAATAAACATAAGTACAGCAGGTCCTCGGATAACATAATTTCATTTCATTATAACCTTGATGAGAAAAAAAAACCCTGATTCCCTGCTGAGGTTACTGTGTGTGTGGAGTTTACACCTGCTCCCCATGTCTGGGTTTCCTCCTGGGACTCCAGTTTCCTCCCACGCCTAAAGATGTGCACGTGGGTGAACTGGCATGCCTACATCAGCTCAGCCGCGGGGGTGTGGGTGGGAGTGAGGGGAAAGGCGTCCTGTCCAGGCTGAGTTCCCACCTTGTGCTCTGAGCTGCTAGGAGAGGATACAGCCACTTGTGACCCTGAATTGGAATACGCAGGTTGGGAAATAATTCTTACTTGTTTTAATTAATCTTTTCCAAATATATGTATAGCTCACATTTATTTCAATGTTTAATAATAGAAGTGTTCTGCATTTTTATTTAGAGGTTTGGTGATGTTTTTGTGACCAGAAATATGCTGTAGGAACTTAATTCTCCCTTATCTCAATGTCTATGATAAAACTGGTTTCATTATACATTGTTTCACTTTAAGTAACACTTTCCAAGAACCTACCAACTACATTAAATGAGGACTTACCATAAATGTCCTGTGAGCCTAACAAATTAATCAAATCTAAGAAGGAGGTTGTAGAAACCTCGCATTTACAGCCAGTCACACAGAAGCACAAGTTAACAGCCTGGACTTGCAACTACTTTCTAAAGTAGGGGCAGTTTTGTAGGACTAAACCCTTAACCTGTGGGGCGCAATGCTATTTCCAGATAGTGTCAGAACTGAGTTAAATTTGTAGGGCACCCAGTCAGTGTCTGCTGGGACTGGAAGAACTGCTTAGTGGTATCAGATAAAACATCAGAAACATTAAAATCTCAAGAAGCAGTGACCTCACAGAACAAATTTCTTTGCATAGAAGAATCCCCTGATCTTCAAAAGACTAATTACTAGGGTTTATAGATGTGATGTTAGCACCCCAAGAGTGCCTGTATTAAAACAACCTTAGTTGGAATTCATTTTTTTATTGTTGCATATGAAAAAGAGAATATAAGAGACAAGGACTTAAAGTGGTAAGTAGAGACAGAAGCACAGAGATCTATCAGAACCAAACAAATTTCAGTTGATCGTCTACAGCTGTTTTTATAAAGCTACCACCGTATAAGTCCCCCATATCTATGTACAGTAGAGGATCTCAAAGTGTGGTCCCCAGTTGAACCACATCAACATCACCTGGAAATCTGTTAGACAGGCACATTCTTGGTCCCCACCTCATACTTACAGCATCATTCTCTGGGGAAGGAGAACAGCAGTCTGTCTTAACAAGCCCTCCCAATGATTCTGATGCACACTAAAACCTGAGGACCAGTAACCTCCAGTCAAGTCAAATACCTTTCAGAATGAGACACAACTAATTCAGGAAATTCTGGAAACTGAGTGGCAGAATTTTACTACATCCTACAGATGATGTGGAGGAAATTTTTATCATATTAGCCCTCCTTTTTTAAGGCATTTATTTTAAAACACTTTCCCAATACTATCTGACATTACTTAAGAGTTTCCCCATGATCTAAAATTTTCAGTCCATTCATAGGCTGCTCTGTGCTCAAGAAAACAGAGCAAAGCAAAAGTTTTTAGGGAGGATGATAACACATTCCCAGGCAGAACTTAGAGGCTGAAGCACTATACTATAAATTGGTAAGCTTTAAATTAAGTTTTTTAGTTCTTCCATCATATGGGACATAAAACTTATAAGTAAAACACAAAATAGACCAGGCCCTGGCTGGGTAGGTCAGTTGGCTGGAGCATCATCCCAATGTACCAAAGTTGTCGGTTTGATCCCGGTCAGGGCACATGTAAGAATCAGCCAATGAATGCACGAGTAAGTGGAACAAATCAATGTTTCTCTCTCCCCCTCTTCCTCTCTCTCTAAAAATCAATTAAAAAAAAAAAAACCTAAAAAGGTCAAATATATGTACTATATCTACAAAGTTTACACATATCTATAGAAAAATTTGCCAAAGGGGACAAAATCCTGCTAAAGAGGTAATTCCTCTGCCAATTTAATTCAGGTTATCAGTGTTTCTTTGTATAGAAAAAAGGTAAATACCTTTAAACTGCTTGATCATGTTCTGATGGTTTTCAATGGCTTCCTTTAAGATCAGTTCAGGCTGGTCCATCTTCCACCGCCACTCAGTGCCCACTGGGTTGGTGTGGTGTCTAGGAAAAAGGCAAACGTGCTAAAGTACTCTCTGTAACAAGATCACAGCTAGTCATCTACTATGAAATACTTAATGAAATCATAAAACCAGAGTTGACTTCCCCCTGAAATCTTAGCTGTTTATAGCTGTACTTTATTATTTAATTAGAAATAAACTTAAGTCATGATAACTCACAGAGAGGAGGGAACAGAGAAGTGCTTGGCTGAGACTGAGGTTTAATCATAATGATACAAAACGTATACCCCTCACTCCTAGCCACCCACTACTAGGCTAACAAGCATCTATCTAATAACAACTAACAGCAGAATTCTGCCAGAATAGTTGCAAGATCATAGTCATAGACCCTCCCTAAGAGGCTGTGCAGCGGGAAGACCTAAAGCTCAGGATGTATCAGATAATGAGTAAAAAACAAACAAACAAAAAAACAAAAACCTTTGGCAGACCTGCCTCCATGCTATACAAGGTAAGCCTAAAGGAATTTTAAGCCAGTGATATACTGAGGGTATGCACAGAAACAACAAACCTTAACTCAAGCCCAGTTCTGGACTAGATTAACTCCAACAAGAAAGGCCTCACAGAAAGAAAAGGTGTGCCAGTCTCAAAATGCAGAAAAGTTACCTCAGTCTTTTATGTACTAAATAAATGTCCCAATTCAAACAAAAAAGTATAAGGTATACAAAAAAGCAAGAAAAACAACACACCTCCAATAGAAAGCAATAAAAAAAATAACTCTTTTGACATGTGTTGGAACTATCTGACAGAAAAGTTTTTTTTAATGTTATGAGGTAACATAGTTTTTTTTTAAGATTTTATTTATTTATTTTTAGAGAGGGAAGGGAGGGAGATAGAGAGAAACATCAATGTGCGGTTGCTGGGGGTCATGGCCCGCAACCCAGGCATGTACCCTGACTGGGAATCGAACCTGCGATGCTTTGGTTCGCAGCCCGCGCTCAATCCACTGAGCTATGCCAGCCAGGGCTAGAAAATTTTTTTAAACTATGATCGATATGTTAAAAGCCCTAACAGAAAAAATCAGGCTTCCAGTCAAGATGGAGGCGTAGGTAGACACACTTTGCCTCATTGTACAACCACTAAAAGGAACACAACTAACTTAAAAACAAAAAACACCCAGAACTGCCAAAAGTCACCCAGAATTGTACAGAAGTTCAACAACCAAGGATTTAAAGAAGCTACATTCATCCAGATGGGTAGAAAGGGTGGAAACGGGGAGAGGGGTGGAGAGGACGCAGTGTGGTGGCCATGAGTCGAAACCAGCGGAATCCACCACAGTCACGTGTGGGGATGAAAGTCAGGCAGACACCTGGTAAGCCAGCAATCCCAGACTCAGGCCAGACTGTGCAGCCCACAGTTCTACCACCAGGAAAAATAAAGCCTCATAACTTCTAACTGTAAATCCAGTGAGGACTGGGGTGGCAAAAGAAACAGCTGGTTTCTCAGGAGAGCCCAAAATGTGTGCAAATCCACCCACTCTGGGAACTACAACTGGGACAGCAGCTGGAGGGGCGTCAGTCACATATGGGAAGTGGGTGAAGTGACTGGAAAGGGGACAAATGCCAGGCAAGCCCCCAAGAGTCATTCAGCAGCAGCAATGCCCCCTCATCGACCCCTCCCTAAAAGATGGAGTCACAAAGCAGTGAAGCAGGTAGCCCCCCCCCCACCTCAGTGAATACCCAAGGCTCTGCGCATACAACTTAACAGGTGTCCTAAAACAGGAGATCAAAGCGGCTCTACCTAGTACACAGACACAGGGAGGCTGCAAAATAAGCAAACAAAGAAATATGGTCCAAATGAAGGAACAGAATAGAACCCCAGAAAAAGAATTAACTAATGCTGAGATAGCCAACCTATCAGACACACAACTCAAAAACACTAGTAGTCAGGATGCTCACAAATCTCACTGAATATGGCAAAAGCATAAGGGAAGAAATGAAGGTTATACTCAAGGAAATGAAGAAAAACCCACAGGAAACCAACAGTGAAGAGAAAGAAGCTGGGATTCAAATCAACAATTTGGAACATAAGGGTAAAATAGTCAACCAGAACAAAATGAAGAAACAAAAATTCAAAAAAATGATGATAAATAAGAAAACTATGGGACATCTCCAAAAGAGCCAACATCCAAATCATAGGGATGCCAGAAGGAGAAGCGGAATAGCAAGAAACCAAAAACTTATTTGAAAAAATTATGAAAGATAACTTCCCTAATTTGGTGAAGGAAATAGACATACAAGTCCAGGAAGCACAGAGACTCCCAAACAAGATGAACCCAAAGAGGTCCACACCAAGACATATCATAATTAAACTGCCAAAGGTTAAAGAAAAAGAGAGAATCTTAAAAGCAGCAAGAGAAAAGGAGAGAGGTACCTACAAAAAAGTTCCCATAAGACTGTCAGCTGATTGCTCAAAAGAAACTTTGCAGGCAAGAAGGGACTGGCAAGTAGTATACAAAATGATGAAAAGCAAAGACCTATAACTTAGATTACTCTGTGCAGCAAAGCTATTATTTAAAATGGAAAGACAGATAAAGTGCTTATGAGACAAGGTAAAACCAAAGGAGTTCATCATCACCAAACCACTATTATATGAAATGTTAAGAAAAAGAAAGTCAATTGCCCTGGCTGGTATGGCTCAGTGGATTGAGTGCCAGCCTGTGAACCAAAGGTCACTGGTTTGATTCCCAGTCAGGGCATGTGCCCTGGGTTGCAGGCCAGGTCCCCAGTGGGGGGCACATGAGAGGCAACCACACATTGATGTTTCTCTCCCTTTTTTTCCCCCACCCTTTCCCTCTGTCTAAAAATAGATAAATAAAATCTTTTTAAAAAGCTAAAAAAAAAGATCAGAACTATGAACTTTAAAAAGACAACAAACTCACAACTATCAACAACTGAATCTAAGAAACAAAAACAAAAACAAACTCAACAAACAACTAGAACAGGAATAGAATCACAGATATGGAGATCATTTGGAGGGTTATCAGCTAGGAAGGGGAAGGGGGAGACTGGGAGAAAAGGTATATGTATTTATAAGCACAATTGGGTAGGTACAAAATAGGTAGGGGGATGTTAAGAACACTATGGGCAATGCAGAAGCCAAAGAACTTATATGCATGACCCATGGACCTGAACTAAATGGGGGGATTGCTGGAGGAGAGGGGGGTACCAGGTAGAGGGGGCAAAGGGGGAAAAATTGGGACAACTGTAATAACATAATAATAAAATATACTTTAAAAAAAGGTCAGCAACATGCAGGATCAGATGGGTAAATTCAGCAGAGATTCAAATTATAACCACAGTCAAATAGAAATGCTAACTATGAAACAACAAGCCTTCAAAAGGTTCAACAGCAGATTAAAAATAGCTCAGGAAATTGTCAAAAAACTTGAAGATAACAACATAAGTAAGCCAACTATTACACAAAGACCTCCCCCACAAAAATGAAATAAAGGACAAGAGCTCTGGGACACTATCAAAGGTCCAAAATACATATAATTGGAATCCCAGAAGGAAAACAAAGAGAACAAAATAGTAGAAATATTATAGCCAACAATTTCCCAAAGTTAATGAGAAACAACCAGAAATCTAAGAAGCTCATGGAATAACAGGATATTAAAAAAAAACAAAAAAACTAAAGTATCAAAGCCAAACTGATGAAAACAAACAAACTGGGAAAATCTTTTGAGCTGAAGAAAAAAAGACACATTACATAGGAACAAGGATAATAATTACATCTGACATCTCATCAGGAAACAAATAAGGCAGATAAGCCTATACTGACACCTGAGAAAACTGCTTAAAGGAAACAGACAAACAAAATGTGTCAAGCCAGAATTCTATACCCTATGAGAATACCCTTCAAAAGGGGAGAATTAAAGACTTCTGCAGAAAATCTGAGTAATTTTCCTTGTCAGCAAAGCTACGTTATAATATATGTTCAAGGAAATTGTTCAAGCAAAACAAACATGATACTAGGTAAAAACTTAAATTTATAGAAGGAAATAATGCATATTGGGAAAAAGAAAACTAAGGAAAAATAAAATTTACCTTTTTGCTCTTCATTGTCCTAAAACTAACTGATACTGTGTGTTAAGAGTGCTGATATGTTATGTTAACGGCTCATGCAAAAGTAAAACTTATGCCAACAATAGCCAAAGGATGGTAGAAAGAAACAGGGAATATACTTTTGTAAATTCCTCATACTACACATAAAATGAAACAATGTAATTTGAAGGTAGACCTGATTAAATAAAGATGTATATTGTAAACCTGAGGGGAACCTTTAAAAAAATTTTAAAGATGTACACATAATAAGCCAAGAATGGACATAAAATCACTAAAAATGCTTAATTTACATGAAATGAGGAAGAAAAAATTTTTCAATGAACATTGAGAACAAATAGAAAACAGCAAGATAGAGGATTCTAATCAAACCATACCAAAAATCACTTTCAATACGAATGATTTAAACTCACCAATTAAAAGACAGAGATTATCAAATGAACTCAAAACATAAGACCCAGGTTAGCATTACTGAAATAAAAAAAAAAAAACAGACAAAGATATCCCCAGTATACAATTGAAAGATCAATATCTTTCCATGAACACAGACATAGAAATCTAAAACAGAAAAAAACAAACTAGCAAATTGAATCCAACAACATATAAAGAGGATAATATATCACAACAAGTAGCTTATCCCAGAAATACAAGACTGGCTCAACATCCAAAAATCAATCACTGTATTTTAGCATATTAACAGAATAAAATTTTTTGAAAACCCATATGATATACAAATAAAAGAAGTATCTAACAAAACTCAGGCCCACTGAGACAAAGAAATATGGACCTAATGAAAGAACAGATCAAAGCTCCAAAAACAGAACTAAGTGAGGAAGAGACACCCAGCCTATCAGATGCAGAGTTCAAAACACTGGTAATCAGGATGCTCACAGAAATGGTTGAGGAGGTCACAAAATAGGGG